AAGGCCGACGGAATACCGCTTCAAATATTTTACTTTAAATTTCGTGTTTGAGAATATTTCGTGTGTACGATAACTTTCTGTTTATTATGATTCCAGTAGTTTATATTTCTTTAATACATTTACTATTCTTTTATTTTATTATATCATAAATTATTATTATTATCTTAATAAATTAATATCATATATTATATAAAAAATTATATATATATATATATATATATTTATTTATTTTCAATTTGAGTAAAAGAATAATTGTAAATGTATTTAAGAAATACAAACTATATATATATATATTTTTTCAATTTTCTTAATTTTATTCAAATTGAAAATAAACAAATAATTTTTAATGTATTTAATAAATTACAATAAACTGAACGTTACACAAACTAAACAACAAATTTAAAGAAATTCTTAATTGGCTATTAGATTAGTTAATAGTTCTTTGGCGGCACAGTATGCGACCGAAGTGCGACCGAAACAAATGGTTTTCAAAATCAATTTTAAATATTTCTTTAATTCAATAATATTTGTTTATTATATTCTGCGCGAGATCTTCCGACGCAATATCACCCGGCAACGGGTTAAAATGAAATAATTAAATACGCGCGTGAAATGTCGCAATTTCTTTACTTTCTAAGCCAATCACAATTAAAATGGCCGCCGAAAAACGACCGGTCCAACCAAGAATACACCTTTAAGTTTTATGCGATAAACAAAAACGTACGTGCGTGTGCTGACACGAGCCACGGCTGTGTAAACTACGCGAGCACTCGCGAGAAACGAGCGAGCAAGAAAAGGCATTAATAGCGTCACAGTTCTTGACAAAAAAGGTGCCGGCGACCGAACTTTTTGCAGGCCTCTCTCAGAAGGGAGCGAATAACATTCAAGGACGCTAGCACAGGTTGCCCGGCTCCGAGAGGAGAAATATGATTGATAGACCGGGTAGACGTATTCGCTAGCAGTTATTGCGTATACCTGTCGGTCGTCATAGTTCGCGACTACGATTGCTGAATAGATATCGATCTGGACAGTCGACCTAATTGTATTCGTCTGCAAAATTTTCTTTTTCTTTTGCCGCAGAAGGTTTAACCCCTTCGTCCATGAATACATGTTTCTTTTTAACACGTTGACTGTCAGGAAAAGCATCAGCGTTTTATGTGCCACTTATCCTTTCTATAGCAAAGATACAAAGCAAGAATTATTAATTTTTTGATATGAAAATTCTTATATCACCCTATTATCTAATTATTTACATTACGGAAAATTTGTATTTGAAATCAATTATCTTCCAAGTTATAATTATTTTCTTGTAATTTGAAAGTTCCGGTCATCGGTGACTCGTGGTGAAGATTTTCAACATGATTCAACAAATATGTATCTATATATCTGTGTATATATTTATATATATTATTTATAATATTATTTATAATATAATATATAACATATATCTATATATACATATGTATTATTTAGTTAATTCGAATTCAAAGTAAATATTATTCCCCTGTAATCAACTATTATACTTAAAAGGAAATATAGGCATAACACATGCTTAGAATTTTTCTCTTTTTCCAATAATTATTAATGACAAAGTAGCCGTATCGATCCTAGTTGAGAAATAAATCATAGGCCAAGGGATTATCATGAATTCTGTGCAAAAATACTTACGACTGCCCACTAATTAACCGAAACACGTCTACAGTTGATTAGCACTTAACACATCGTTGACTGATTACGAGAAAACTCGTTTTCGCACTCGCATCAGCTATTTCGATTGTCGAAACGCAGGGCAATATAGAATATTACGAAAGCAAAGTATACAAAGTTATATCAAAGATATGAACAAACGTTCATTTCAGATCATCATAAATAAATAAAGTATATCGAAGTTTATTTAGATTGTTCTACTTTCATATTTAACTCGTTGCCGCACAATTTTGGTTTTAAAATTGTAGTTTCTTTTAATTGTTTGTTTTGTCTTGTTCAGGTCATGAAAAATCGTATACAAAATCAACTGACATGTTATCTAGACTGTTACATCATTTTTGTTCAATGTATTACTGAAGAATAAACAAATAAATGCATTGGTGCAGTCCGTGAAATGGACGGTTATAACCGTCGTTTGCGGCAATGGGTTAATTGCGGAATAATAACCGATGACATGGGATAGTTTCTGCGTAAAATTGCCAGTCAACAGTGCGTTACGCTGAGATTTTGTGGTACAATTTTCTTTTATCTAGGTGTTTTCTAGCTGTCCAGTAATTTAACATTAAACCTACGAGACGCGACAAAATGACCTTTTGCTGATTTCTTCTTTTTGCAATTGTTAAACAGATCACAGATATTTCTCTAAGAAATTATTCGAGAAATTGATTTAGCAATACCCAAACTGAATTGTAAATCAATTAAAGTCTCGATAGATGCACCTTTGAAGTTGCTATAAAAGAATTGTAAAAAGTCAATTCAACTATTCGGTAGTTTTAGTGTTAACAGTTTGCCGGTCGCACAATAATCGCATCGTTCAGGTTTTACTGCATTTTCAAGGATATTTTATAACTTTGTAATAGATCTAAACTTTCGGGATTCGAAGGCAGCGAAAGACAGTTTCAAACTAACAGAAGAAGCACCCGTTTAAAAGTTTTCAACAAAAGACGATCTGGAAAATTGAGAAGAGAGAACAGTGGAAACAATTGTTTCTATAAAAGTAGCTTCAGCGTTTGTGTACTGTATTCAGTAATATAATTCAGAATTATATTCATTCAATTATCTAAGCTACATTTATTATTTGTAATAGTTTTTAATCAGGAAAAGAATTTTATTCCTTATGTGTCAGAATTAAATTCTTAGAGATTTCAATAATTTAAGAGTATAGATCGATCACTCGAAGCCATGTACATTAATTATTTACAGTATGTATAGCACAGCGATGACATGATGGGTAGGCAGAGAGATAACTGTCTGATTGATGTCTTATAGTTCCACCACTGTTTAACTAGTTTTGCTCCGCAACTATATTTGTATTTCCTAGCAACGACTTCATAGCTATAGACAGAAATTATCGGGTCAAATTTATAATTGTATATTCATAATATCTAAGCAACATTAGATTCCAGTTTCTTTGAAAGAAAGAAAGAAAGAAAGTACAAAGGTTGAATACTCCAATAACTCAACATTGAGTTTATTGCACAAGTATCTAATACTTAAAGCAGCACAATCGCACTTCTTCATTACACTGTCTAAAAGTGCTAGCGGCTAGCCTATCGGTTCGTAAACTCAAATTAAGTTTATTTATTCGTTTCCCTTCCAATTAAATATTTCTATTTTTGTTATTACCAGCTTAGAAATGGAAAATTGAAACGATCCCACTGTTTCGAATTTTTGTATGTCAACTTAGAAAAGCGTAATTGAATTTCTGAGATGAAACGAAAGAAGCGCTATCGCGCCGCTTGCCATTTTTCGACCGGTTTTTTTGTAAAGACCCGTGGAACTTAAGTGGTTAAACAGATCTTAACTAATTGAATTTACAGTAATGATTTGATTAAAATAATTGGCTAAAAGTAACAAAGAGAATAAAACATCAATGTATACTTACTATGAATGGTAAACACATTGTTACTGTTTTTTCCCTTCTCAGTAGTACAAAAATGATTTGTTATTTAATATACTTGCGGCGGTACCTTGAATATTCACCGGAGGAGAATTTCTCGCAGTTACCCAATCCGTCCCTCCTACACATGAACTGATCATCGGGCACTCCCGCGTCCATGACAGGATCTGCTAGGTAAAATCTATTAGCAGGCCCAGGACGAAACTCTCCTTTCGTTTTCACTCCTTCTCTCTCCATCACTTTCGTCATACGCCTTCTCTGCGGCCACATATACAGTGTGTCCTATTTTAACCCTTTGCACTCAATAATATATTTCATTGTATTAGCTACCGAGAAAATGAAAATTTAACACTAGATTCACGGAACGAGTCAATTTGACTAGTATTGAATTTTATAAACGTTGCTTGGTAAATGTTTGGGTCGATTTTCATTGATGCAATTATACAAATACTTTCAAATCATTAATTTCCAAGGTCTAAATGAACGAGTATCGACAAAAAAAGCTTTTGTAACTTAACAAAAGGTAACAAACGTAACAAATACAATTTGTTTTAATGCAAATTACATATTATTCCTGTTATCAGTGATTATACCTTAGAGCACACGTTGACATAGAAGGGAATTAAGACTAAAATTTTCTCTTGTTTTCAATAAATTATTAACCTATTGCGGTAAAGCGACGAGTACAGCTCGAGTACATGCAACTGAAGTTGGAGGTAATATGTTTTTACATGTGCAAAATTTGTGCAGTTCGTAATTGAGAATAAATTGGCCTAATATTTAGTAGTACCTCGATAGATTAGTTTTAATCAGTATTCTTTCAATAAACAAAATGTCTCAATCACAAAACGTTGTTTTCTTTAATAAAAATAAAATGCTTCTATCATGCACAGTTTTTCATGATTAAATCGTACTTGAATGGACTAATAACAAAGTAGTTATATCGTTCACAGTTCAGAAGGAAATCATAGAGCAAGGGGTTAAAATAGATTACACAACAATATGATATTAGAATTTTTCTATATATAAGTCGCTCAGAAGCTAATACAGTTAAGTCGACTTTTTAATATTTCCTGATTCTTGTAAATTTTAATGAAATATGTACTATTCCCTTCAGTTATTAAAGAATCTACTCATTTCTTCGTTTTCCTAAGTCAGAAAACCCTTTTTATAGTTTCTGAGTGTGTTGTACAATCCTTTCAGAAGCCAAAATATTAATGTTCTCAATTTCTCTTTTCTGGGCACAACCACATCGACTTCCCAGCGACTCATACACGTTGATCTCACTGAAAATCGCCGTCCGAAAAATTCAGTTCTCTGTAAATCAGCGCGCAATATGTTCACGTGTCAAGCCGTTTCTCACCGGTACTGAGTATTCTTTGTTCTGTTACAGCGGAATCGGACATTTGCACTTTCTCGGCGAGAACCGAGCATTTCCACGTGACGAACAAACCATCGACAGCGTTGTTCACGTCGGGCACGAGGCCGAGGGCGCTGAGAGAGTTGTACGAGGCCGCTGCCATAGTCGCTGTCAGAGGATTGGATAGCCTGAGAAGGGATGGCAGTTCCATGGAGATGTTCCTCTGCACGCCCGTCCTTGGCAAAAGACGGCGGGACCAGAGTCTGGACATCGAATCTAGAATCGTAAGTGTGCATATCAGTTTACGCGCGAACGTGCGATCGTTTGCCAGTAAACATCCAGATACCGTTTACGAGCGAGAAACGATGCGCCTGGCGGACGTTCTAAAAACTAACGAGCTTGTGGGCTTTCTCTTTATACACGTGATTGCTCATTTATTTCATATCCCCGCCATTAGATTTCGTTCGCATCCATTAATTAGAAAGAATTATTGTTCGCCGAGCACGAGCTGGGGAACCAGTAAAATAGAGAACTCTCCTCTATTTGGATGATGTGAAATATAAAGAATGAAAGATGGAGTACAAGGTGTTCGAGTTAGTTGCCTTTAACCTTTTTCACTCGAGAGGTGACTCTCAGTCACCATTTGATTTGGTATAACAAATTACGAAGTAATTTCCATTGAAATATACCTTAGGATCATTCTTCCTGCGTTTGAACGGGAGATATCTCGAACTAAATTCCACAGTTAACCCTTTGCACTCGGAAGTTTTTCACTAGATATATTTGAACATTTTCTGATGAGATAAAGATGACATTTTGTTGTGACATTGAGGAACAAAGCTATTTTATTTCAGTATTTCTCAAATTGATGCATTATGCAAGGTATAATATTAAGTATCAAATTTCATAGTCTTACTGTATGAAATCAAGTGGTGAGTGAGAGTCACCTCTCGAGTGTAAAGGGTTAACATTAGATTTACGGACGTTTATTCTATTGTTCTAGGCAACTACGCGTTCGTCTATGTAAATCGCAAAAATTGTAGCTTCAAAACCAGAGTGTTGCGATGCCTATTGGCATAATTGCGTCAATCAAAATCGGCTTAAACTGTTACGAAATAACGTTTAAAAAATTCGACATCCGTTAAATTGACGGGTTCCGTAAATCCAGTGTTAACGGGTTAACTTAGGAATCTTTAGCACACGGAGAGCGCGTACGAAAGACTGCACGGAAAAACAAACAGATGAATTAATCTTCGATAATCATCGTGAGTCACGTTCGTTTTGCTTGCCATCAAGATCCCGCAGTACCATTGGCATGCCAATAATTCTAAGGCATCGTGGCATTGATTGGGTGATTGCATCTTTCGCACTGTTACTATGTAATTGACAGTTGTATTGGGTGCGATGCAAGTCACGAATGTACGTTCACCTGAAAAGAAATGTCAATCATTTTGAAAACACGAGGCGATCATTTATCAGAAACAGCAGCTGATTCATTCGGCAGCACAGTATTAAAGCTGTTGCTGCTTTCCTTTTTTAGTGTACTTCAACGCGAGAATTGTGACCAGTTATACTGACTTTTTTCAATTTCTTCATAGATCAGTGAGACACCTGTTATCTTTTCAATAACTGTAAAAGAAGGAATCAGGATTGAATCGTGTTGACCCATTTGGTAGTTCCAGTATTAGTAACATGTTTGACTGTACGTGCCAAGAAAATTGTCAATATTATTTACGAATTGTATTTATTTGGTTCCTGACCACAGTACCATATGCACGCATTATACGCTATCATTATCTTCTTCATAAACAGTAATGTTCAATTCTACTATGAACATATGAACGGAACTCTTCTTAACACATTGCGTACCGGCTAATTTTCAGAAAACTGAATTGTGCGGATGGCAGTTTTCACTGAGGTCAACTTATATCACTATACATAGGAAAACTCAGATATCATATTGTTATGTAATATATTTTAACACGTTGAATGCCATGGGCGTCACTGGTGACCCCCAAACAAATTGAATTACTATAGTTCATTCAATTAAACGATGATTACTTGAAAACATTTCTATATTATAAATAATGCTACCTAATGCGATGACATTCAGCTAGATGAACGTGCTATAATAATAATGCAATTCAATCGAATGATTCAATATTATATTCTTTCCATTGTAATATATTTTAACCAGTTAACTGTGGAATTTAGTTGCAAAAACCTCTGGTTCTGCGCGCAGTAAAATCGAAAAATGGAGCGTATACCCGTCGAATGCAGGACGAATGCACGTAGAGTATATTTTAATGAAAGATCAAAGCGAAACAAAGAAGAATTACATGTTTATGTGAAAAAATAATGAATTCGTCGCTGAAAGAATTAGTATCAAATCAAGCTTTACGATGACGTGTATACTCGTCAAACACAGTTAACTGATTAAATAGATAATCAATTCGAATCAAATTTTATATTTTTCTCAGTACTGTGGCAATTAGCGAAGTTGCATAGCTAAGTGTCTTTATATAAAAACGAGATTTCTCGTTACCAGTGCGCAGTGTGTTAATAATTGTAAATTAAAGAATTTGCCGAAGAATTTTCGGTTGAACGAAACTTACGCCTTTCGGTCACTGTTCATTTTCATTTTATTTTGATACGTAGGAGCACCCCTTAGAAGGATGACCACATGTAATCGGACACCCTGTACATACCTGTTTCGAGGCTACGTTGTCGCTCAAGTTTTCAGCCTTTACTATGAATATCGCGAATAATGTTGCAAATGAACAAAATTAGTGAACATAATCCGGCAAAGTTGACGCTATTGCGGAAGAAAATAAATTCAATACGACGTTTTATTTACTTAATTATTACTTATTCATATAATATCGACGTAATTCTTCAGAATACCCTATTTTTAACGCGTCTTCCTTCATTTGGAAGAATCGATCTTTTCACAGAACTATTAACACTAGGAGGACCGAACAGTCAAACTGACTTTTTGAAATTTTTCTAAGGAAACTTGAACAATAGTCAGTGCCACTATTGAAATTTCTATTGATTTAAAATTCAGTTTGCCTACTGCTGAACCAATTTCTCTAGTAATTTCTCAGAGAATTATCTGTTATGTTTTTAATAATTATTAAAGAAGCAATCAGGAATGGGTCATTCTAGTGTTAAAAATGTCAAAACTCAACAAATTCAGCGGTATTATGTACTTAAACCTTTGCACTAGATTTGTTTTCAGTGTTGATGGGTGTAACTTTGTATTTATTTTTCGGGAAATGAATAAAAATAATTCACTAATAATAAGATTTAATTTTTATAATCTTCTAAAGTATAATACTTTCTCGAACAATTTTCGACGTTCTATAACTAATTTCTATTGTTACCTCCAGTATCACATACCAGTGTAAGGGATTAACACATTCGCTACCAGCGTTTATTTTGGCGAGGATCTCAATTGTAATATTTTATTCAATCCAATAAATCTTCTAAACAAAATATCGAAAAAATGAAACTGGAACGAGTTATTCAGTTCCTAAATAAAATGCCGTAGCTTATAACTTTAAATAACAATACCTATAAGATTAATTTCATTCACAAATATGTGACGCTGGTAGCGAACGCGTTAACACATTGTTAACCGGCAATTTTATGCAGAAACTATCTCATGTCACCGGTTATTATTCCGTAATTAAATATGAAAGTGAAACAATCTAAATAAACTTTAATATACTTTATTACTGTACATAATGAATTGAAATGAAACTTCGAACATATCTTTTAGATAACTTTGAATATTTTGCTTTTGCAAGATTCTACATTGCCCTGCGTTTTAACAATTGAAATGGCTAATGCGAGTGCAAACACGAGTTAAATCGTGACCGGTCAACAATGTGTCAAGTAAGCTTCGATCTTCAAACGTAACCAGCTGTTAATGAAGACGAAACACGAAGCTTCCAATGAGAACCACTAGATAGCGTTGCTAAATAAATTACAAAAATCTCGTGCACAAATTATAAGTGCCCTAATTAAGTAAATCAGTCGTCGTCAAGTGAATTAAAACTCAACAATTAATCAATAAATATTTCATATTTACTTCTATTATCAAATTCCGTGACATACTTCACGTTTCCTTCGCGCGAGACGAACACTGCACTTCTCGTCGCTAATCGAATTAGCTTTTCCTTTGAATTTTCGAAGCAACCGAGCGGTTAACAGAGGAGATTCGCTCGTAGAGTCGATTAAGTGCGAATCTTAAATATAGATCCATTTTCACCGTATTCGTAACGGGCGCAGCGCATAGAAAGGGAGCAGACTGTAACACAATCCGTTGCATATTCCGTGCGTGAAACTCGCTTGGTCACGAGGTGACATCTGACAATGGCTGTGCCCACGCAGCGCCGCCGTGCGTAAAACACGTCGGTAGCTTTTCGCCGCAGCATCAAGTTTCTATGAAACAGAAGCAATACGCCGCGCCGGTACTTACTTACTTCCTGCAATACCATTGTCGGTTGAATTCGAATGAGGAAGAAGTTCGGTAACTGCCTGATTTTCAACGTGCTCGAGAATCAACGTTGAAAATATTCAATGATTCAATTAACACGTTGCGTACTGGCAACGATAAATCTCGTTTTCAATAAAGACACCTAGCTATGCAACTTTGCTAATTATCAAAAGCGCGTCTATCGAGACTTCCATTGATTTACAATTCAGCTTTCGTATTGATGAATCGATTTCTTTAATAATTTCTCAGAGAAGCGTTTGTTATCTTTTTAATAATTGCAAACAGAAGACGTCAGGAATGGGTCATTTTGAGCCGTCTGGTAGTTTAGTGTTAAAGAAATATTCAATTTGATTCGAATTGATTATCTATTTGAAATATATTATATAACAATATTTCTGAGTTTTTCTATATATAAAGATGTGAATTGATCTCACTAAAAATTACCAGTCCCAATTCAGTTTTCCGAAAAATAACCGGTACGCAAAGTGTTAACATGTTGAATGCCGTACGATTTCATAGAGCAAAATACATGAAATGCTCCCGGCTGAATATCACCGCGTTACGTTGCAGTAATTAGAATATAGAAATGTTTTCAAATGATCATCGTTTAATTGAGTGATCTATAGTAATTTGCTTTGGTTGGGGATCACCGGTCATCCCACGGTATTCAACGTGTTAACGATCATGGAAAAACATTGATTTCGAAAGTAACGATAGTCGAACAATTATTTCGAAACTAACGATAATTGGGAAACAATTATTTCCGAATTTGTGATAATT